ACCGTGGTTCTGTCAGGACACCCCCGCTGTGCCTTTGGGCAGGGCCAGGAAGCTCTCCCAGGTGGTTTCTCACCATGGTTTGTTCTGACATCCCTGGGACCACCCCCAAGCTGCAGTTTGCATGCAGCCATCCCGCTGAGGTAGCCAGCAGTGAAGCAGGCTTTTCCGTGCCAGCTGACCTCCATGCCCAGGAATGTTCCCAGGCACACTGGATTTACTAGTAGAGATGTAGCCTCAGAGGAAGAGCTACGAACAGAGCTGTAGGTCTAGCTTGCTCCCATGGAATTTGGCCCTGGGCTTTGGAAGAAGAGGGTTTTGCTTCTCTGAAAATGCAGTGGGCTCACGAGGAACATGGAGCTGTGGGAAGAGAAGGAAGCAGGGAATAAGGTAGACTTCTGTCAGGGCTCTGAGACTGGGCAGTGGTGTGGCAGAGCACTTAGGTATTGCTGCACCTGCATTTCTGTTTAATGCCCTAAGCTGGGTATAAATTGTGTCTTCCACACAAGTGAAGGAAAAGTTGCAGTTTCAGCATCCTGGGAAGAAACTAGCACTCAGCTCCCTGAATCCCTGTTTCTGGCAAGAAATCCTTGCCTCCCTCCAGCACAGCCAGGTGTCTGAAATCCTCCAAGCTGCAGGTGCCACGTCCCAGTTTCCCACTCTACACCACTGGCTTAGCAAGGGTGAGACAGAGATTCCCTTCAGAGGGTCACAGAGTTAGCTTGGAAGGGACCTTAAAGATCATCCATCCATCCATCCATCCATCCATCCATCCATCCATCCATCCATCCATCCTATCCATCATCCATCCATCCCATCCATCCATCCATCCATCCCATCCATCATCCATCCATCCCATCCATCATCCATCCATCCCATCCATCCATCATCCATCATCCATCCATCATCCATCCATCCATCCATCCATCCATCCATCTATCCATCCATCTATCCATCATCCATCCATCCATCCATCCATCCATCCATCCATCCCATCCATCATCCATCCATCCATCCATCCATCCATCCATCCATCCATCCATCCATCCATCCATCCATCCATCCCTGCTGTGGACAGGGACACCTCCCACTAAACCAGGCTGATCCAAGCCCCATCCAGCCTGACCTTGAGCACTTTCCCACAGTTAACTTGGATTTTCTTTTCCCCCTTAAGATGGGATTTGTAGTTGCAGTTTCTTCCACTTTTAGGATGGGAAATATTACAATAAGACAAAAGCTCTAAAAACTCATTCAGGAGAGTTATGTATCTTTTTCTGGTTTTATTACTTTGTTTATATCAAAAGTAGTGGTATTAGAAGTGCTTTTATCAGTAGCAGGACTCATAAAGAGGTTGCCAGGAGCAGTTATTCCCTTCTTGAAGAGCATTGGAAAATATTATTTCTCTGAAAACAATGGTGTTCAGGAATCCTATCACCATTTCTGAACACAATGGTGTTCAGAAATGGTGATAGTCCTTCTGCAAACCTGCTGCTCTGCTTAAAAATATTAGAAGTTTAAAAGCTTAAAAATTTAAATTATGTCCATGTGGTAGCTCAGGAGCCTCCTTTCCACATGGGGTTTTGGGAAAGCCACAGAGCAAATGGCATTAAGTTGGGATAGCAGTGATTTCACTTCATCTTTGTTTTATCATATAAGTAGATATTCCTTTGGAGAGTTCATAGAAAAGCTTTTCATAGTTTCAGACCTGGAAAGTTGAGCTTGTTTTATCAGAATGTGTCCAATATTGTAAACAAATGAAGGGAAGAAAGGAAAAAATAATATTGACATGTTATTTCAGTGGTGTATTTTTTTAATCTATCACAGTTCCTTAAAACTAATGTCTGACATTTTAGAAGTTGCTTAGGGAAAAAAAAAAAAGATATACAAAGCAGTCTACTTTTTATTAAGTTTAATTTGTAAGGAAACTATTTTCCCACCAGCTGCAAAAATGAATGTCACATTTGATTGCACAACTTGGATTTTCAACTTTCCACTGGTATGGAGAGAGCTGCCCTGATTTTCCAAGGATTTATTCTCAAACTTGAGTTTCAGGTCCTCAGGATTCTTCCTAGGCTGTGTGAGCATCTGAACCAGGACTTACAGTTTGTTTAGAATTATTTAAGGTATTAATTTGGGGCTTGTGGTGATCTTACTTCTTTCCTGATTCAAGTGCTGGCTGCCCCTCCTGGCAAAAAGAGGCAGAAGGAATTTTGGGGCAGTTCCTTTTTTGAAACCTGTTGGCTGTCAGGGCTTATGCAGAGGTTTGGGATGTACAAAGGGAAGCAGAAAGCAAGGGAGACAATCAAAGGTACAAAATAAGTGAAGTTTATTCCATGCTTCCCCAGCTCATTTGTTTAGTATTTTGATTTATTTGAAATTAATTTATTCCATGGCTGACTAAAGGAATGTATAAAATTTCTAGTGGATGTGAATAATACTGGAGAGGAAACAGAAAATGTGAGGAAGGGCAAATCCCCTGCAGTAACACAACACCAAGGCTGCCTAAGTCCAGGCAGAGAAAGCAGAGTTGATGGGAATAATGGAATTAGTAATTGGACAGTGCTGCACATCATGGACTATCACATCACATAAGACTATCAGTTTTATGGCACTGCTTTTCCTGAACAGGCTGATGGATGTGCTTACTTTAACAAGCACATAAAGTGAGGGTCACTGGAAATATCAGAAAAAAGCAGGAAGGTGATGTGTGGTGAGGGAAGGTAGTTAAAGGTATTAAGGAATATACAGGTTGGCCCAGGCTGTCCCAAAGTGCTGAGCAGGTTGGCTGCACAGTGCCCATCCTACAGTGGGGCCTGGAAAAAAGCAAAAGGAGGAGGTGATGGCACAGCAAATGAGGGAATTCAGTGTGTCCCTATCCTATGGAGACTGATCCAGGGTGGGAACAAATCTGTATGTGAATACCCTGACTGGTACCTTTATTATCTGGACCAAGGCTGGAAAAACCCCTCTGTCTTCAGTGCAAATAGACTCTTACCACATCAGAGCTTTTCTCTGTAGTTGAACGGGATTATCATATTCCTGCTAGGATTTATGGGTTGCAGTAAGAACTCTGGACAAGGCACTGCAGGAATTTGTCAGGAAACTATTGGGTAATAGGTTTGGTATCAGGCCTTTAAAAAATGTCTCCACAAGTTGAATACTGAACATCTCACTTGAAGTTCTGGGATTTTAACCCAAAGATGTGTCAACCACTGTTGAAAACCTGAGTGTGACCTCCACAGGTCTTTGGGCCCCTGTGTACCTCTCAGTAAAAATAGCCTTTCTCTGGTGTCTGCCCCTTCTTTCCTTCCATAAAATGGAAACAGTGGATATTCCTCCCCTTGGAGAGGAATGTGGAGACTGGATACAGGGAGATGACTTTGACTATGACTCTGTGACTTTAAGGTTACAGATGTTCTGAGGATAAACAGTACCTTGAAGCAGTTGAATGTGTGCTGCTAATAATTAGTGCCTGCAATCTGGAATTTGCTTTCTGGAACTCTGCAGAGGGAGCGCTGGAGCGGACAAGAGCCTGGGAACAGTCAAAGGATCCCGTTCTCCTAAGACCCCTCCCAGTCAGTCGGTTTTGTAGCACACAAGCAAACAGGCTCCCAAATAAGAGTTCCATGGTGATGTTTGAATGAGGACCTGTGCCCATCAGAGCTCCTCTGGAAGCTGGGAACAAGGGATGGGATTGAAAGCAACACACAAATGGCTTTGCTGCCAGCACGAAGCAGGTGCAGCAGCTGATGGCTTGTGCTGAGCACATGCCACGGAGCAGGCACAAATCCTCACTATTGCTCTCTGTACTTCTGCCTAGTCTTAAGAGGATATTTTAAAATTGGAATGATAATGACCTGAGCAAACATGATTTTACAGCAGAAAATAAAATTGCAAGCATTCACTATCAAAGGCAAAGAAGTGTTAGAGAACAAGTATGCCCGATGATGCAATGTTTTTCATCCTGCAACTGAGCACAGAAAACCTTTTCATATGCCCTAAATCTGCAGCTACAATAAAGCCTTCATACAGACAATCTGCTTAAACAGAACGTCACGCTTGCCTTTATTTTATTTTAATTGCAAAACATTATCCAGTTTCACTGCTAAAATATGCACTTCTTAAGGCAATATGCGTAACTTTATTTTATCCTCCATTTTGCTTGACGTCATCTCTGCAGTGATGAAATTATAAGCTCTTGAAGTGGACCATCTATGACGCAGCCATTTCCCTTTCTTGTGGGAGAACACCCTCACCTCATTGTCTTCCTAACAAGACTTATATAATTAAAAAATCCCACTTTGCTCCAAATCTTCTGGCTAGAAGAGTTGGCATCCCTGTCTCTTCATTGCTTAAACATGTAAGCCTATACCACCGAAACAAGTAGGAACTTTGCCGCTGTCTTTGAGGCAAGATTAAGCCTTAGTATCCCAGATATTTGAGATTATTATTGATATTAACCTAGTATTTTATCCCAAACAATAGCAGTGACTAACTCTTAGTGCTTTTACTTGAAGGTCTTGCAGGAACTTACAAGTCAGGGTCAGCATGATCATCCCACTTCCACAGTGGGAAAACCAAGGCACTGTGGAAAGTGAAATTATATTCTTATTGCTGGGAAGTGAACTGGGATCTTCTGAATCAGCTCACGGCCTGCTGGATTGCCCTAGTTTGTGACTATTCCCACTGCATGGAATTAAATGTGCATCGGTGGTGGCAGTGCCTCGGAATCTGTCCAGTGATGGCTTGGTTGCTCTCCAGGCTGTACCGAGATGTTGTGGCATTTTCACCCCTTCATGATAAAATCCACAGGTCAAATGCTGGATTTTGAAATGTGGAACTTTGTAGTATCAAAGGAAAAAAACATTTGAAAAAAAAAAAAAGTTATCATATTAGCCTTGTCTTTTCCTCTTTCCTCAGTAATTTTATTACAGATTGTAGGAATGTAGCAGTTTCAAAGCTGCAGAGCAATGTGAACTGATTGCTGCAGGCTGTATTTGCAGATGTAACTGGGAGCAATCGTTCATTAGCAGTGGAGACATACTGGAAATCGAGAAAATCCTGGGTCTGCATTGTATTTCCTGATAAATTCAAATTTCCCTGCCACCGTGATGGAAAGCAAGCTGAGATTTGATGAATGAAATTGAGACTCACTGTGAAACAGAGCAACAGCTTTGAAGAGCTGCCAGATTTCAGCAAAGGTGAATAAAAAAGAAATAGACATTTCTGAATAAGCTGCCTTTCCTCTCTTCAAAAACAAATCACCTTCTTGTAACTTTTCTTCTCAGGTGAGAATCCATCCCTCACAGAGCAGGAGACAGGCTGAGCAGCAGAGCCATTTGATAGATGTTAAAAGACAAACCACCAAAAGGCAAATATGCCTTTGGAAAACAGTATTAAGTAATATTTTAAAGAATGGCCACACATCATATTCACACAGATGCCAACAGGAAGCCCAGCTCAGGAAAAGAAAAGCTTTCAGGTAATCTCTACCCATTACGAAGGCAAAACCTCAACATCACTAACACATCTTAACTCATTTTCAGCCGTCGCCCTGCTCACATTTGATGCTGTACTGTGTATATGTTTCATGCTTCAGCACAGACTTTTATCAAGAGGTTTATTCACTGAAATGTGCAAAATCCATAAAAAAAAAGCTCACCACTATTAATATTTCATGTCTCACGTACTTATCATATCCAGGAGACAGTAGTCTAAAGTGGGAATTTTCAAAAATGCTCCGTGTCAGTCACACAGGGCTGCTGGGGCCAGTAGTAAAATGTTGAATATCACTGAGCACAGAGTGATGCCAGTGTTTCTGCAGGCTTGTGTCTCTAACTAGACCAGAATTTAGGCTGTTTTGTTAAGGATTGCAAGCTGTGGTCACAGACCCCAGAGAGCGTTTCTCATCTAGGTCCTCCAGCTGAAGACTTCTGCCCACAGCCACCAGCAATGCTGGTTGCAATGTAGCCATGTTGGAAAAAAAGACACTGCATTGTGGCAGTGTGTAAGTGTGATTTAATACAGGATTTGTAAGAAAAAAATCTGAGGGAAGAAAAGTTTTTCTTCTTTCCTTTCTACCCTGGAAAAAGGACTCTTGCCTCCTTGTAAAACCTGTCCTTTTGTGATACTTTTCCATCCTTTTACTAAGAAAACCCAACAAAACCTGAAGTTAATATCTAAGTGTTTGGGTCCTAGCAAGGAACACCTGGATCTGCAACATTAGCAGCAGGTGCCAAGAAAAGAAAAAGAAAAAGAGTAAAGAAGAAAGAAATTAATTAGTGTAGTCAACTAAGCAAAGTTCTGGGGGGAGGAGTGAAATTTCACAAAGGAGATTAACAAATATGCACAGTCAGGGTTACTAATATGGATCTTTTCAGTGTAAATGGTGGTTTCTCTCTCTGGCAGGACTCGGGCTGAAGACAAGGATTGCTCTTGAAGTAACTGTAAAATGCAATGACCTTGTGGGAGCCCACCTCGATGAGGCTGGATATTTGACTGATGTACCACTCAAGTCATTTTCACAGAGCTTGGGAGGAATTTCAGCTGCAAGAAATTCTCTGCTTGAGCTTTAGTTTCTTTATCTCAAGCATGCTGCTGCAGAGCTCTAAAAGTGGGAAGGGGGCAAGGGCTCGTTTGTGGAGCTGGAAGATTGGGTGGGCATATCCAGGTGGTTTTGCCCTCCAATTCATTGTACCTAAATGCACCTGTCTCTAATTCTCTGTGTAATCATGAAGATGTTTCTCAGCTGGTGAGCTCAGGTGTGCTGGGGCTGCAGTGGAGCAGGTCTGAACACAAGGCAGAATTTAGTCAGTTTTTGTGCTGAGGAGACAACCAAAGCTCCAGGGATGGCACTTTGAAGGCCTTTTCCTCCTTATTCCAGGGTACTGCCTTGATGGAGCTGCATCTGTCTTGGTGAGAAATTTTCTGTGGGGGAGGTGGGGGGGTCGTGGCTGAGGTTCTGGTGTGGGTGGGTGACAGTGCACTCAGGGAATGTGTTATAGGTGCTTCAGTGTTGTATTTTGGGGCCTCTAGGAAACGGATGGGAAGGCAGAGTTGCTGCCTCAGAAATTCCAGGTCAAAATAGACTAAGACATGACAAAGTATAAGGGCAAGGTGTTCTATTATGCATTATATAAGGCCAAGAGAAGACTCTGAGAGCTTATTTAAACTTAAAATCAGAGAGGGGCAAATCTACAAGACCCTGTCGATATCAGATTGGAGTGTATGCATGCTTTTAGAGCAACCACAAACATGTTTCTCCCTTGTAAGGCTCATTATCCTAATATAGAAAGCTCCTGGAGATAAGGCTGTGTCGGGCATACGGTAGAGCCTATGCTCCAGGCACAGGGAGTAAGTGTTGAGGCAAGAAATGACTTTTTCCTGGCATGACCCACTAAGATTGAACTGGAATGGCAATTAGAAGTTGAAGTGCTCATTTAATGTCAGTGATGTGTAAACTACGTTGCCATTGTTATTTTAGTGCTTATTTACATAATTGGCATACCCTGAAGTCACACTGCACGAACTTTCAGTTCATGCTAAAGACTTGCAGGAAGTCATAAAATTAAACATTATCTGTGCTGGAATGCAACGGAAAAATAACTCAACTTTTGAGGGATTTCACCTTGCTCGGTGTCCCCTCTCCCCGTGGGCACGGCGGCGAGTGAAAATCGGGTTAGCGAGTGTTGGGAGCTGTTGGCATGAAGGAGCTTTAGCAGCTCTTTAATTACACCGGTGCTGTTCTGGGGTGGTTTGTTTTGCTGGTGTGTTCCTCATCCTGCAGGGACCTTTCACGGGAGCTGCTAGAGTCACGATAGGGAGGCCAAGGGAAGGAGGTCCATAGGAGGAATTATTCCAGCCCAAATGGGCTGAATTCCTGATTCGAATCGGCGCTCTTCCTACACTAAAAAGTTGTAAGAAGGAGGGAAAAGGCCGCTCCCAAAGGAGGAGCTGGTAATGGAGCTGTCTCAGTTGTTATTGCTCTAAGTCCTCCTCCGCAGTAATTCAAGGTGTCACAGGCTGGCTGTGCCTTTTGCAAATGAAGCCCCTGAGAGATATTGGGAAGAGGAGGTGGAGCCCAGAGCACTTGCCTTGCCGGGAAGGCACGAGGACCCCGGCTAATGACGGTGTGCCGATGGCTTTGGCTTTGATGAGGACCCTAAATTGCCAGGTATCGCATACCCATGCGAGGGCCCGGCCCTACCGCAGAGCCCAGGCGGACAAACAAGAGATGGGGCAAAGGACTCGGCCCTGCTCGCGAGTCACTCGTTGTATCAGGAGAGCGTCTGGAAAGGGATCGAGGGACGCAGTTGTGACTGGGAGGTCAATCGCGCCGGGCACGGACCTGCCTTCTCCACCCGTGCCACCGCTGTCCTACTCCGAGGGCGATGCCACGAGCTGTGGAGGCTGCAGCCGGGAGCAGCGGCTTGGGCACGGGTGGGTCCCGGCCCGCGGGGAGCGCGGCTCAGCCCCGGGGCAGGTGCGGGGCCGCGGGCGGGCGGTTCGAGCCGGGGTTG